CTTTCCCACTACTGGTGGTAGCCACAGGTTTCCTGGGGCCTCAGATGTCAGGTCTCCACAAACTGTTCAGTACTGTGGGAGACAGCAAAGGATGTAGATGTCGGCAAGTGGGGCATTTTTCACAGTTATTTCATCATAACTACTTCTGGTAGTCAGGAACAACAGAGTCCCATTTTTTCAGTCCCTAATGTGGAAAGCAAGCCTAGTGAGGCCACAGATGAAGCTGATGAGTGGCAGTGTAGTTTTGGGGTGGGAGCCTTTCAGGCCACACAGCCAGGGCTCCCTCAGCTCCCACCACATAGTGTTCCTCCTGCCTCAGCCTTACTCTCAAGAGGGAAGGACTGGTTGGTGGCAGTTCTACAGAATCAACCCATGAGAATAAATTCTGCAACATGCAAGATACCAACAGCCTCAGGACATGAGACCACAGGAACCCTAGATGTTTTAGCTAAGCTGGTGATGAATGGGTGATATGACCACCAAATGCATTAATAAAGGCAAATTTATTTTTATGTGTATTGGCGTTTTGCCTGCATGCGTATCTGTGCATGAATAGCTGGTGTCCTCAGAGGCCACAAGAGGGTGACAGATACCCTTGGAACTAGAATAATAGATGGTTGGGAGCCACCATGTGGGTACTGGGAATTAAACCCAAGTCCACTGGGAAAACAGCCAGTGCTCTTAACTACTGAGCCATTTCTCTAGCTCCACAAAAGTAGATCTAAAGTGAGGAAGGCGAGACCCATCTCACATGGGACCACACTTGGACTGGTCAGTACGCAGAGGGGCTGATTTAGAAACTTGAAGGTAAAATGGCCCTGAAGCCAGCGTGAGGCCAACTCTACAGGGCACCACCAATCCACTGCATATGTTCTTTCCTGTTAACCAAACCCAATTCTGCAGCACCTGCCTTTCTCTCTGCCAACACCAATATGTCTAAGAGAGGCTGGCTCTTCTCTCAAGCATCTCCCTTGTCCCTTGCCAGGGTTTGGTTTAGGGTGAGACCTTGAACATAGTTTTGACAATGGGATGTGGGGAGGAATGTGCTCAGCAGGTGTGGGAAAATGGCTCGGCCCACAGACAGGTCTTCCTTATGCTTTTGAATGTTGCCTTATGAGTTAGTGGCACTGTTCTAAATAAGCCTGAATGCAGGGGCAAAAGACACCATGACTGGGATGCCAAAGGGAAAGCTGAGTGAATACGACCACTAAACCCATCAACCCTGCATCCAACTTCTGGGCTCTTTGCCATCTCTGATCATAATTCCATTCTTAATTGAGCTGTTTGAATTAGATTTTTCATTACTTGGAGCCTAAAAGCTACTGTTAGTTGATGAACTCTGTTTATGAAGAACAACCAAGGGACTCAAATGGTGGGCTAGGGAAAAGAAGAGCCTGGAGGGTTTCAAGACACCCAGGAGCCTGCTGTCCAGGAGAGGGATTCAGTTTGCTTCTTGTCCAGGCCTACGGATCCAAGAAGCAAATCCACCTCAAAGAGTGGGCATTCTGGCTCTCAGAACTGACCAGAAAGGCAGTGTAGCCTGAGGAGATCCTGAGCATCCTGCTCCTGTTCTCAGATGATCATCAGAATGTAGAAGAAAATAAGTTCCATCAAGCACCTTGTGTTGAGAAATCACCTGGAGAGACTAGCTGTGGAGCATGTGTTTCAGAGAGAAGGCATATGGCATCTCCCTTCTTCCCTAGGGAGGGGGAAAGGAGAGCAGCCAGGGAAATAGACAGCAAGAAGCAGCCTCCCTCTCCCTTACAGGCTAGCTGAAGAGTTTTGGGTGTGGCACAGCTGATTAGAGGAAAAATCACAACTTAGAATGGATCAAAATTTCAAGTTTGAGAGTGACGGGGAATGTACTGTGTATGTTTATCTCAATAATTAAGAGCATTGGCTGCTCCTCCAAAGAACCCAGACGCTGTTCCCAGCACCCACATGGCAGTTCACAGCCATCTGTATCTCCAGTTCCAGGGGACCCGACGCCGTCTTCTGACCTCTGCAGCACCGAGCAAAAACATGGTACCCAGACAAATGTATGTAGACAAAACACATACACACAAATATTTAAAATCTGTTCTGCAGAAGACATTAAAAGGACAAAAAGACAAGGTCCAGATTAGGGGAAGATATCTGTAAATTTGACAATATTTTTAATATTTGACAAAGGACTAATGTCTACACTATATAAAGCTCAAAACTCAACAGTAGAAAAGCAATGTAATGGACCATGGACATGAGCTGGTGTTTTGTAAACAGGACATCCAGATGGCAGATGAGCATATGAACGCATGTTCAACATCATTAGCTATCAGAGGAAACCAAGTTAAAATCATATCGTAACACCTACTAGAGGAGCAAAATAAAAACAATGGCAATACCAAAACACTGGTCAAGACATAAAGAAAGCCAGATAGCTTGAGCCCTGCTGGTGGAAATGCAAAGCGATGGAGATGTGCTGGAACAAGTTTGGTAGGAGGTGAGAATGTAGAGAAGGGAGAGGAAACTGGGACTGGAATGTAAAAAATAAATTCATAAATTAAAAAAATCTTTAAGAAAAGAAATGAAAGTGTATGCCCACATAAACACTATGCATAAATATTTATTTGCAATAGTCAAACTTGAAAACAACACACATGTCCCTAATGGGTAATGTTCTTCACCAGGGAAAGAAACTTTGGTGCCTTTACACATGGACTACTGTTCTACTCAGTAATAAAAGGAACGAGATTCTGATATGTACGGCCTGTCTGTAGGTCTCATAGCAAAAGGCTGACTTTTCTAAAACTGAACAAAACAGTCATTGGGCCTCACTATGACTGCTCTTCCCCTGGGGCTACCGCACTCAGTCTTCCCTGTGTGAGACCTGGTCACTATAGGAAGGAGAAGCAGAGACTCTGGAAGGTTGAAAGGCAGGGATTTCCTCCCGACCATCTAACTCATAACAGGCTTAGTTAGAGCCTCTGTCACCATCAACTTGTTGCAGGTGAGCAGATTGCCCACTTGCACTCGCTCTGTCTCCTGGGGATGTGACAGCAGCATTCGCTAGTACTGTACTAGGGACAGACTCAAGGTTCTGGAAATTAGTGGATCACATCTAGATTGGAGACATAGAGCAACTGGTCCTGAAGCTGGAGTTCAGGATGGTTCCAGTCTAGCAGTCCTTCCTGCTCAGCTCAGCCCCGAACTTTGGATGACCCGCTTGTGTGAGCCTGGCTTGTCTGTGTCCTTAGCCTTCTCCCTTCTTGGGTACAGCTGGGGTTTCTTGCCCCCTTTGTGCCTCTGATGCTGACCTCACAGACGGTCCTTCTAAAGAACCTTCGTCCCTTCGAACCCCTCTCCTGGGCTCCCAGTGCAGCATGCCCCCTGGGTGTCTCTGATCTGGAGGTGCCTGTGGAGCAGGTATGATGGGGACTCCATGCCCTGGGGATCTCTGAGCTACCAACACTGACTAGAAGTTGACCTGGTGCTGGGCAGAGGACTCTGCTCAGTGGCTTGAAGGCACAATGGGATGTGTACAGGGAGGACCTGGCGTACTTCTCCCTCATGCTCAGCACGTGTCTCCTAGAAGTGATGCTGACCCTAGTCCCCACCCCAAACTTGTTTTTAACTAATCAAACTTACTATTTTTACTTTTTTTTGTTTTTAAAAAAATCACTTTTTTTTTTTTATCTGTTTGTTTTTTGAGACAGTGCCTCACTGTGTAGCCTTGGAAAGTTTGGAACTCACTATGTAGATCAGGCTGGCCTTGAACTCATAAAGATCTGCCTGCCTCTATCTCTCTAGTACTGGGAATTATGGTATATGCTACTATGCCTGGCATTAAAAAGCTATTCTTAAAAGGTAACACACTATGGGCTGGAGAAATAGCAAAGTGGTTGAGAGCACTAATTGCTCTTCCAGAGAGGGCTGGTTCAGTTCCCAGCACCCACATGGCCGTTACAACCCTCTGTGACTCCAGTTCTGGGGGCGCCGGTGCCTCCTTCTGGATTCCCCAGGTTCTGCATGCACATGCTGTGTGCACATACATGCAAGCAAAGCACCCGTGCACAGAAACAACAGTTCTAAAAAGGTAACACACTATACAATTCCATTCATATCGTATCTTCAAAATAACAAAATTAGAGGCAGCAAGCATCTCAGTGTGTGGGGGTTAGAGAGAACAGCAGGCGTCAAGCGCGTATGAGGAGGGCTCTGTATCTTGACTGTGGTGGTAGGTTCACTAGTCACAAGAAAGGCTTATGGGATGTACCAATGTCAATTTCCTGCTTTTGACACATTACATCATATAAGGTGTTATACAAGTACCCCTCTGTTCTAGTTTATAATTTGCTATGAATCTAGAATTAATTCAAAATAAAAGTTTTTTGCTAAAAAAAATAAATAAATAACAAAACCAAGCTAGCAGTGGTGGCACACACCTTTAATCCTAGCACTTGGGAGGCAGAAACAGGTGATCTCTGTGAGTTTGGGGCTAGCCTGGTCTACAGAGTGAGTTCCAGGACAGCCAGGACTACACAGAGAAACCCTGTCTGAAAAAACCAACCAAACAGACAAACAAAAACCAGAATGGCAGACAGTCAGTGAGAATGTGTTAATCTTGCCAACTGGAGAACTTCGAAGAAAACCTGGCTGTATTTTAACTGCCCTATACAATTATTTTTATAAGTTCTATAGGCCACCTTTGAAATATTTTATGTTATAAAAATCCCCTCTGAGGATAGATTACATAGCCAGGAACTCTTCAGAAGATATATTAAATCCAAGTGGTTACTATCAATCCTACATGAAATTACTCGCCTGTTACAGTGATCTCAACTGTCTCCCCAAGAAAGGCAGTGTAGCTGCTGGTGGGGAGGTGTACTCTCTCCCCAGCCTCCTCTGGTGTGGTAAGCTGGGCAAACGGGCAGGGACTGGTTAGCAAGCTCTTCCTTTGTCTCCCAGCTTTCCTAGCCCTGCCCCCACTGAATACCACTGTGGGTTTAGGAACCTCTTACCTGTTGAGGTCCCAGATTCTCAGAGGTGAGAAGTGCCCACAACAAGCTGTTCCTGTCACAAAAGAGCTGCCAAACAAAAAGAGAAAGGAGTTAGAGCTGGCTTGTCAGAACTTGTGGCGGAAATGGCTACACATTAGAAATGCAGAGCTCTTTCCCCAGGGATCATGGGGTTAAGCCAGAAAAAGAAACATCGAGAGAGAGAGAGAGAGAAGGAGGAAGTACCACAGAACTCCTTGGTGTGTGGAGAGGGGTTCAACCTCCCAAGACTGACTAGTGGCCTTACAGCTTCAACCACAGATGACCCCGAGGGTTGGCTGGAACCATGTGACCTCCGACCAGCTCTGAGCCCAAGAAGGTTCAGTGAGTAAGCTTATTAAAGATATAGCTGTTAGAGACTTGAGGCTCAATGTCATAAAGTCTCCTGGGTATATCCTCTGGGGACTGTCAAGTGATACACCAATCGGCTGAAGACATTCCAGAAGGGTTTCAGAGTTGGGAAACCAGGTATGGTGACGCACACCTTTGATCCCAACACTAGGGAGGTAGAGGCAGGTGGGTGGATCTTTGAGTTCAAGACCAGAACTCAAGCTGGTCTATAGACAGAAACTCTGTCTCTCCCCGCACCCCCAAATAATTGGAAGACTCTGGCAAAGTTGTAGGAAGACCGGGCAAATGGGAAAAGTGCATACATCCCAGTGAGTATATTGTAGCTTTCAGGGAGCAAGGGCAAGTAGCCAGGACTGCTGGGGATGAGATAGGGGTCCAAAGAAGTCTCTAAGGGCACTATGAACACTGCCAACAGGCAGCTGAGAAAGTCTCAGAACACTCAACAAAGGCGGTCTGTATGGTTTCATGATGCGTGTGTGTGTGTGTGTGTGTGTGTGTGTGTGTGTGTGTGTGTGTGTGTGCGCGCGCGCACCCCCCCAAAACACAATGAGCCACAGTGCTAGGAGGAAAACTTGAACATCTGAGCTAAACTAGACCTTTGTTACATGATGGGGGGGGGGCGCTTAAGAAACCTAAAGTTTCTTAATCTCAGCACACAGGAGACAGAGCAGGTGGATCTCTTTGAGTTTGAGGCCAGACTGGTCTACAGGGCGAGTTCCAGGACAGCCAGGACTGTTACACAGAGAAACCGTCTCAAAAAACAAAACAAACAAAAAAAAACAAAGAGAAAAAAAAAAGAAATCTCATATCAGTCACTAAGATTAAAAGCACTGGGGCAGGGATGGGCCAGGTCCCTAAAAGTCCTGCACAGGGGAAGGAAGACTGGATACACTAACGACATGTTAACCATGTAGGCAAGTAGGCCATTGGCCTACACTGCCCAGCACCTGTGCTTTCTGTTCCCACCACGTAGTGGGAGGCAGAGTTCTATGAGAAGGTTCTGGAAAAGACAATGGCTTGGACAATGCAGCAGGTGAGGAGCTAGCTGCCAGTTGCTGATGAGGGAAATGTCTGCGTAGGCACTGGCCAAGTGGCTGCTTTACTATCAACACTGTAGACTAGTGTCCACCTGTCATCTCCAAACTAGAACAAGGCCAAATAAGACACCCTGGGGCTCTCAAGCCTCAGGCTCCCAAGGCTTCCTCCAGGAATATGATAGCATCCCAGCTTCCTCTTCATCTGCAGTACTGCCAGCAGCCATTCTACCATAAAGTGGCAGTGCTAGCAGCCTCTCCTGCCTGGCATGCCCCATGTGATTCCTAGCCTGGGCAGCAGCCAATGGACACCAAGGAGCCAAACGACAGAGTCAGGAGGTGTTTCCCTCGCCTTGCTCCTCCTGCATTTTCTCTTTAGGGCAACCCATTAATAACTGGTAAAGCCAATTACCTTGGCTTGGAAACATAATAGCTACTTGGAAATCATTGGAGCAGGCAATTGGGCTCTCCAGACTTGAGGAGTTAGGGCCAGGTGAAGGGCGCCAGCACAGACACAGACATCTCTTGTGGAAGTCTTTCTAGGCCTTTTGGCCACAGGCCTAAATTAGTCTCAAGGTAAATCAATAGAGGAGGGGAGGAGCCTGGAAGTTAATCCCTACCACTCCTGCAGCCCTGACCTCCCAGCCGGTGGGGTAGGGTTGGGGGATACAAACCCTTCCCAAGGGACTCCTGTCCTCTGTTTGTCCCATTCTCCCCTGGCCCTGACCATCTGCCACCAAGAAGAGGGCCCCTCACCTCTTTAATAGCCTATAAAAGATACCTATAAACGTTTCCTTCTTTGCCTCAGTGTCCTTTCCCCTTTGCCTAGGTGCTGTGAAGCTAGAATGTCTTCCTGGCCTTAGGAGGCCTAAGAGTTTAGTAACATAAAGGCCATGTGAGCTACAGACTGCAGACAGATGGATGGGCTGGGACCGTGCCCAATCCAAGGGACTACCTGGGTGGCAAGGAGTCAAGCTAGCTAGAGATGCCGTCCCAGGCTCCTGGATCTCCTCCCCACTGCTGTGGCTGTGCTTTCTGCTGCCCTCTTCCCAATGCCTATGGTCATTAGGAAGAATGAGGCAAAAGCAGGCGACCAGCCACATTTGAAGACAGATGCTAATGAGGGGTGAGCCTGGCCAGTGGGAGACAGGGCTGCCAGCACTCAGCACCCTCCCAGCCTTGTCTTGATAGAATGTGTGGAAGAGCAATGGGAGCTCAGAGGTGGTGACACACACCTTTAAACTCAGGATTTGGGAGGCAGAGGCAGGGGATTCTCTGTGAGTTAGAGGCCAGCCTGGTCTACAAAGCAAGTTCCAGGACAGCCAGGGCTCTTACACAGAGAAATCCTGTTTTGAAAACCCAAAAGGGGGGTGGGGGTTATGCCTACTGGCAAGTTTGACCCCCAGTTCTCTAAGCCCCACAGCCCTTGCTCCCAACTGTAAAGCCTGCCCTGATCTTTTGCTTGCTTGGGGTCAGCCTGCTGTCTGTGCTGATTTATGCCATACTTTTCACCATGCTGGATGTAAGGATTCAGGCATTATGCTGGCCTGCCCCTGTCACCTGGCAGAATGCACTCAGGCAGTACCCTGGTCAGCCCAGGGTTCCAGGACTACCAGTCTGCAAGCAGGTGCAAAGGACCCCTTTAAAAGAAAGACCCCCCCCCCGGCCCACTTCCCCCCCCCCCCACTGTTCCCCTGGGGCAGACAGAACTTTTCCTGTCTCTTCTGCTCTCTGTCCTCTCTTTTCTCTTTCCTTTTCCCTCCATCCCCTTTCTCACTTAAGCTCTGTCTGCCTGGCGAGTTTGTCCCTGCCTTGGTCACCCTTGCCTGCCATGGAATCTGCTTTATCCTATGCCAAGCCTGTTAGAAGTTCTCATCAGTGAAATGAAAGACATGCTTTCCTTCCATGGCTCCTCCTCAGATGCTGCCCACACGCACTCCTGTGTCTAGTACAGTGCCTAGCCCAAAGGGCAATCAATACAGATCCATGAAACTGACCAGAAAGGGGCCTCCCAGAATTCGAAGCCAACAGGAAGAAGCCAATCAAACAGCCAGTGAAACTGGTCCTTCTGCTTCTTAAAGGAATATTCCCCAAATCACCAGACTCAAACCTGAACAGCAACATACTACAGTAACAGTCCCCCAGACTCAATAAGCTATACTTTTTTGTTGTTATTGTTGTTTTGTTTTTTTGAGACAGGGTTTCTCTGTGGCTTTGGAGTCTGTCCTGGAACTAGCTCTTGTAGACCAGGCTGGTCTCGAACTCACAGAGATCCGCCTGCCTCTGCCTCCCGAGTGCTGGGCTTAAAGGTGTGAGCCACCAACGCCTGGCCTACTTTTTCTTTTTAATAACAAAGCCTAAAATTTCTCATCCTTTCTCAGCCCTCACCTGCCACTTGACCCTACCTCAGGCAAAGCTGGTATCAGATAGGCCATAAGGCCCTAAGTGGACACAGAAGCATCTGGTCAAGAAAGACACTAGGAGAATTGGGGGTCCTCTAACAGGAGGAAGAATAGAAGGTTAAGAATTTTCAGAAAAACAGAGGGTAAGAAGGGACATTAACCCTGCAGCTGGAGTTACATGCAGTTATTAGCTGCCCTAGATGGGGCTGAGAACCAAACCCAGGTCCTATGCAAAAGCAGCAAGTGCTCTTAACCACGGAGCCATCGCTCCAGCTCCTTTACTTGGCTTGGCTTGTTTGGTTTGGTTTGGAGAGCCCTGGCTGGCTGGGAACTCACTATGATGCTCAGGGTGACATCACACTTCAGTGGTCGGTCCTCCTGCTTCTCGCTCCTAAGTGCTGGGATTACAGGGACACACCACCTGCTGGCTACTGTGCATTTATTAAAGAAGAAACTTGCACATGTGGACATTTTGGTATTGATTACGGGGTGGTACTGGATCCAGTCCTCACAGGCACAGGGGGAATGGCTGTCATTTACTTACTATTCGTTTAATGTATGTGGCCCAGACTAGCCTTGAACTCTCAGTCCTCCTCCCTCAGCCTCCCGAGCATGCATCACACCAAGCAACTGTAATCCACTGAGCCCTACTCTGCAAGGTGCTGAGCAAGCATTTCACTAGCATTTCCCCACAGACTAGGAAGCTCAGGGAGCTAATAAGACTTGCCTTTTATTCACCTGGGCAGCAAGTAGTAGGGTTAGGACTGGCCCTCTTAATTCTAGACTCCATTATGTCACCCCTCACCCCACGAGCTTGCCCGTGAGCTATGTATCAAGTTAATTTTGTTTGGGTTCCCAGAACATAGTACATTGTCTGCCTGAAGTCCCCAAAGTTCCTGAATGAGTGACTAAATGAATCAACAAGTTGAACAAATGATTTTACCTGGAGGAGAAGAAAAGCCTGGCCCCAAGACAGGCGGCAGAAGTGCTTTTTCTTAGCAGCTGTGCCCCGTGGATGGCCAGAGCCACCCAGCTGGCCTAGGCCCCAGCAGCCTGAGCCCAGACTGACACACTTTGGCAAGGGAGGCCACCAGAGCTGCCACATCACTCACCAACATGCCCATCAAGTGTATTCAGCGCTCTTCAACCCACATTGGCATTTTAATTACTGTTGGGTAAACTAATTTGTACAAATGAAGGCCAGGCTGCCTAATAGAATATGCAAGCTCCCTGACCTCTGACA